TGGTATTTGTTCTGTGCATATCCGGCACTAGTGTTTTAATGTAACAGTATATATGACCAGGTTTGGTTATACATTTGGGCATTTTGCATTGCTCTTTTTAAGGAGATTTGGGTGGCTCTCCTGTGCAAGTGGAATTTGGAGGGAACGATGATTCCAAAAATAGTGCTGAGTTACCCAATTCGCCATCTTCTTCAGGTGGGTTCCGTTTGTTTTTCTCAAAGGACTGATCTATGTTGAGAAGACATGATGTGACCGCATTATAGTGGTGGAAATTATTGATTTACTTTGTACAAGACGTGTTGTTTGCACCCCAAGATATTTTTTCAGACTGTAGGGGTGGCTTTGGTATTGGGAACTTTCAAAATGTCATGAGATTTTGTTGGGTCCTGCCACAGTGAATCACAGATCGAAATTCCTGACATATAACACTCTTTTTCTGCTGCATCAAAGGCATCTCGGCGGTTTTGCAAGGATATGATTCCTCCTCGGTTCGTATGTCTCTTGCTTTATTTGCTTTATGCCTACTGACAATTTTTCCTGTGTTCTACAGGTGGCTATGAAGTATGTAAACTAACATATGGATGTTGGAATTTTGTGTTTTACTTCTATTTTTGGGGTCCTTACTTGTGTATAGCCTATAAAATTGCACACACTTGTTTGCTGTCTGGTGTGCTGGTGGTTTGTTAATGATATCTGTGTTATCTGACAGTTTGTATTTTTTGTGCAGGTCAACAACCAGAGAATCCACTGCTGTTACTTGGGCAATACAGTGATGATGAATTGGATGAGGAATCAACGAAAGGACTGGATCATGCCATTGTGGAGAATTCCTCAGCTGACCTTGATGATCAGGTGATTTGTTGTCTCCTTGACCTGTGTCTGCTTTGGTGAGTTTCACCTAAATAAGGGGGGGCAAACTTCCATTTCCAGTTGTAACGAAGCCAAGCCACCACTACAGCTGACCCCTGTATATATATTTGTCAAAATAAGCATATTACGTCCATGCAGTAGGGGATCAAACTTGGATATTTCAAAATAGAAGTTTGGGGTTTTTTGAGGCACTGATTTGCACTAATTATGCTTAAATTAGATCACAATCCTCTCCAACTTTCTCTTGAATTGGTGAGGCTGTGAAGATTTTTGCTGGTAAATTACTTTCTGTCTCAAAGTGAGTCTTTTCTTTTGTGTCTTATATTTAGTGATTTATTTTGAGCAGGCAAAGGTAGCTGTCGGCAAAGAATGCGATACTATCGAAGTCAATGGAGGCAAAGAGCATATTTCTCAGAAGGCTGAACAGCTTTACATAGATAATGGTTCTGCTTCAGGAAATGTTTTGCAGAAACTGGACGAAAATGGTACTGGAGAAAATGAGGCTACTGAGTCAGCTGATTTGCACAGAGAAACGGATTCGAAGGAACAAATCTCTATTTCTGCAACTTGTGATATACAAGTGGGGGGGGATGTGAGTTCAGGCTGGAAGGTTGTGTTGCATGAAGAGAGTAATCAATATTACTACTGGAATACTGAGACTGGTGAAACTTCATGGGAAGTGCCTGATGTTTTGGCTAAGGGAACAGGATTGACCTGTGAACAGAAAACTGCTGCCGATATTGAAGGTAGTGAGATTGCAGTTGCAGTTGCAAAAAAATTAAGTTCAACTTTAGACATAGAATTGGATGAGACTATCGCTAGACAGCCTAGTGATGGTTATAAGGATGCCAATCCAAACGGCGAAAGTGAACATGTGTATGAGCCAAGGCCTGAAATGGAAGTGTCAAATGAAGAACAGAAAGGTGACATTCTGGATGATAAAAGAGGCTACCATGATGTGAATGAAAATGATGTGAAATACAGCGGTGCAATGTATCATGAAACTTCTTCACCTGGGAATTATGTTTCTTCTGGGCAATCAGGTGATGCTCTTTTGGGTGTGGAACAGGAAAGAGGGACAGATGTTCCTTTTCGCCTTGTGAAACATAGTGAATGCTTGTTAGAGACATTAAGGTCTCTGAAAAGGTATGGATATGCCTGGTCTTCCTTCTTTCTTCATGTGACCTTTTGCATTGCCTACCTCTTATTCATATGCCAGATTATAAATCTGAAAAGTGATGGTAGAAGGTTTTTTCTCCTTTTTATTCTATTATTATGTATTTCTGTTATTAATGATTCTTTTTTGATCTCTCATCCAATGTGTTTCAGGTCAAAATGCCACCTGCAAGTGCATGATCTGGTAGCTAAGTACATACTGGAAGTTGAGATCAGACTCTCTGATATCAAGTCACTATTATCTTATGGATCATCCTTGCTCCCCTTTTGGGTACACTCTGAAAGGCAGCTTAAACAGCTGGAAGCTTCCATGAATGAAGAAGTTATCCAATTTCCTAAATCCGTGCAAATGAGTGAAGTTCAGGCTTCGCATTATCTACATGGAAGCACAGGTGATGGCATCCAATCAGATTTAAGTGAAAAAAAGATAGTTATATGTACTTCTGAAGGGTCTCATGCTTCTGAGTATGCTAGTACAATACCAGAAGTCCAGAAAGATGCATGCACTGAAGCTTACATTGATGCTGCTGTCAATGCTGAACAAGATGCTTCCACTGGATATATCACCATACATTCTGCCAGTGACGCAGGAGGAAAGGAAGAGCTTGATGGAGTTGCAATACATGCTGAAACTCTCAATGCCGTGCTTCATTCTGGGGAAGATGTAGACATGGATGTGGACATGGAAGTTGAAGATGAAATTCCTGCCAGCAATACAAATATTCCAGATGCATCAGTTCCCCAGTATCTTGCTTCACCAGAGCAACCCGGTCTGGCTAATCTCTCTTCACAACTCGAATCCTTTACCCCAGAGGAAGCGTTTGGTGTGCCACCTCCACCAGATGAAGATTGGATTCCCCCCCCACCTCCTGATGGTGAACCTTTTCCTCCGCCACCACCTGATGAGCCCCCTGAAAACTCATATCCCCCACTTCCATCTGATTTGGAGACAGTACAACCTTTTGCTTATACTGGACATTACAATCTATCCTACCCAGATTCTAATTACGAATATTATGTGCCAACAAATGGCGAAGCCTTGGGCAGTAATTTTTATGCGCATGCCAATGGAAGTCAGATAGCTGTTTCCCATCCACTCCCTTATTATGAAGCAGTGGCCCCCATGTATCCGGGTGCTGCTCCAGTTGTAGTCAACCCTGTTGAGCCTTTTGCATATTATGGTCTTCAAGATGGAACTGTACCCCCTGTACCTGTAGTTAGTAGTGCTGAATCTTCTGGGTTCCACTGTATGTCTGGTCATGAAAGCCTTGGTCCTGATCAAATCGTATCGCTAGAGGCCCATGCAGTACCGTGCTGCACTTCATTGTCAAATACCAAGACTGATGTTTCGGCTGCTGTTGGAGAGACTGAGAAGGAAGCTGTAAAGGTGCCTTCTGCTCCAGCCTCTGTTCAGGCTTCAGCAACCATTTCCGCGATGGAGTGTGTTTCGATGTCATCAATTCCTGCTGTTCCTACTGTGTCTGCTGCTACAGCTACGGTTCCTAAGGTTCAATCTAAAGGTAGAGTTTCAGTATACCCTAAGATTAGGGTTGGATAAACCTACAATTTATTCGGCATCAATTATACGTTCTTATGCATTCTGGACAGTCTACTTGTTTATCATCTATGTTGAAAATTCTGGATCTGCACCGTCATTAATTGTGAATGGTTTTTGCTGTGTGTCGAGTTTTGTGGTGCAATTCAGGGACCAATTATTTTATAATGCTCCTATTGAATACCTGCTACGAGCTATCACATCCTCAGCTTACTCAGAAGATTCATAGCATTGTTCTAGGTTTTTTAACTTCTATTCCTGCTTTCAGTTCCACGTAAGAAACAACGGACAGTTGGTGTGGTGTCCACATTGAGGTCTAATAAGAAAGTCTCCAGCTTGGTGGACAAGGTGCATTATTCAACAGCAATACTTTATATATATATATATATATGTTACAATTTGTATTTTCAAATCATTAAAAATTTGGCAATGCTATTAGTGGAAGGCTGCCAAAGAGGAGTTGCATGAAGAAGAGGAAGAGGAAGATGAACCTGAAAATGCTTATGAGATGTTAGAGAAGAAACGCCAAAGGGAAATAGAGGTCTGCAATTGGTCTTGTGTCTGTTTTCCTTCTGTGAATTGGCTGGTTCTGGTGTCTTAAGTTTTTTTGATTGCAGAAATGGCGTGCAAAGCAGGTTGCTAGTGGAGAGGCCAAAGATAATGCTAACTTTCAGCCTCTTGGAGGTGATTGGTATGGACCTTGAACTCAAATAAATTTGTTTCAGTACTTCATATTTATGGCAATCTAGGCATGCATTCAGTAGGTCGTAAAATGAAAGTGCCCCCTCCCCTTGTCTATCCCCATGTATTCCTGTTCTCTTTTCTGTAGTGTGTGTATGTGTGTTTGGGTATACCCGTTAAAGTTTTGTTTTTGGGTTGGAGAGGGGAACTGTATATACAATTTTTTTTTTTTTTTTGGAGGGGTTGTGTTCTGTTTCTCACAGTTTTTTTTCTCCGGTTGGGGGAGGGGATGAGGGTGTTCTTTGAAACTTGAATCCCCAGTGGGATGACATCCTGTAAACCAAATGGCAGAAGTGGTTTGTTGAAGCTAATTGCTAACCTCACACATCTTTGGCAGAAGTGGTGTGTTCTGTTTCTCACAGTTTTTTTCTCCGGTTGGGGGAGGGGATGAGGGTGTTCTTTGAAACTTGAATCCCCAGCGGGATGACATCTTGTTAACCAAATGGCAGAAGTGGTTTGTTGAAGCTAATTGCTAACCTCACACATCTTTGTCAGAAGTGGTGTGTTCTGTTTCTCACAGTTTTTTTTCTCCGGTTGGGGGAGGGGATGAGGGTGTTCTTTGAAACTTGAATCCCTAGCGGGATGACATCCTGTAAACCTAATGGCAGAAGTGGTTTGTTGAAGCTAATTGCTAACCTCACACATCTTTGGCAGAAGTGGTGTGTTCTGTTTCTCACAGTTTTTTTTCTCCGGTTGGGGGAGGGGATGAGGGTGTTCTTTGAAACTTGAATCCCCAGCGGGATGACATCTTGTTAACCAAATGGCAGAAGTGGTTTGTTGAAGCTAATTGCTAACCTCACACATCTTTGGCAGAAGTGGTGTGTTCTGTTTCTCACAGTTTTTTTTCTCCGGTTGGGGGAGGGGATGAGGGTGTTCTTTGAAACTTGAATCCCTAGCGGGATGACATCCTGTAAACCTAATGGCAGAAGTGGTTTGTTGAAGCTAATTGCTAACCTCACACATCTTGGGCAGATATGAAATTGTTTTTAGGTTGTTGAAGCTAACTGCTAACTTTATGCATCTTCGGCAGAAATGAAATTGCTTGTAAATTTGTTCCCCTTTGCTTAAACTAGCTTTGGACCCATGTGATGCACAAAATTTGTAATATCTTCCCACCTCCACCCTATTTCCACTGCGCCACCTTAACATTGTTGGAAAATTGCAATTAGTTGCTTAACTGATTTTTCCAAAATATTAAATTTAGAGTAGTTAACAAGAATAGAGGGGGTGTTTAATTGATTGTTTTTTAAAAAATTAAAAATTGGAGAGTTAGCAAAAACTGGTGGGGTTGGGTATATATAGGACCCAAGAGAGAATTTAATTCGAGGAAACCAAAGTTTTTCCAAACGAAGATGTGAAAATTAAGAAAATGGGGAGAGAAAGCTTCTCAATTCTCTTCCCTCAAATTTTTAATATATAAAACTTTCTTATTGCCTTCCATTTTTAATCTCTCTCTCTCTTGTGTGCAATGTGTCTCCACCCTTACATATGGTGCACTCGTGTTCCTGTACAAACTTGCATATGCTTGTGCACCCTTTGCTGTGATAAATGATCTTTTACACTGCACCTTACATTTGATGAACATCACCTCTGCACTTTGTGCTACTGTTATTCAGGCGAGAGCGGGTTAAGCGCAAGAGAGCTCAATCATCGAATGAAGCTGTAGAGACTCCAGCAGAGGGGGTTATTACCGATGAAAAGCAGCAGTCTGATCTGAGTGAACTTTCAAGAGATCTCCCATCTGGGTGGCAGGTACTGTTTCAGTCCACACACACTCAAGTAGCAAGTATAAGATGAAAGGGCGAGTGCAATGGACAATAGAGACACTAGTGGTTCTTTGGGAAATAGAAAATGAAAGCAGTTTTTAAAACTGCTGAATTGATCACAGTACTTGTCTGCCTTCTCAAATCTAAAACCTTCAAACCCCAACTTTCCTTGTGGGTGGCTAGTGCAACCAAAAGTTAAAGGCTTATCTCCTCTAGCCTCTGCAGTCTAGAACTATTGTGTGCTTCAGTGAAACAGTATTGTGTACTGAGGCCCGTGGTTCTCTTGTGGCTTTTAAGTTGAGTTTGTCTCATGGTCTCTATCTTATTAGTCGTTTCTAGACTCAGTATCCTATGTGCAAAATAATTATCAATATGATTAGGATAATAAAAAAGACCTTCTCTAAGTTTGGTTCCCGTTAGTCAAGGGTGTAGGGAGGATTACTAACTCTTTACATTTTTTGTGCCCAAGTGGTTGTCCTTGGATTCAAACACAGTTGTTAACCAAATACTTCTATAACAATATTTGACAATTATGCCTTTTTCAAATGATTAAAACACTCGATTATTATGATTTAGCATTCTTTCTCCTGATCTAATACCTTTTTTTTTAGCATTCTTTCTCCTGTTCTAATAGCCTTTGGTTCTGTTTCTTGCTTTTTCCCTTCTCTTCTTCAGGCATTCTGGGATGAAACCTCAAAGCAAGTCTATTATGGAAATGCTGCGACATCAGAAACAACCTGGATTAGACCAGTAACATGACACGAGCTTGTGAAGATTTTTGAGAGAACCAATTAATAGTCACTATCTATTTAGGGCTTGAATGTAATCTTTTCTATTTCAGTTTTGTTTTTCCCTTTTTTATTTTTTTGAGTATCAGTCCTTCACTTCCCTCTTTGTATATATGGAGGAATGATAAAATTAACGTTTTGTTCCAGCAAGTTCAGAAATGAAATTTTGGCACGTTTCTGACTGAAACAACACGCCATAGATTGATCATGATGCTAGCCAGCAACAAGGTAATGGCGTCCTTGACCAAGTTAGAAAGACAGATTTTATTACCACACTTGTGTTTTTCTAAACTATCTATCCCTAGATGTAGGGTGAGCAAAACTGAAAGAGGAAATTTCTGATCCGATAGCCTTGCTTAACGAGCTTTGAGTTTTGACTTAAAAGTTCTAAACATCAACACAAGTTCTCCTCTAGGCACCTACAAGGGTAAGTTAAAGTTGGGCTTGTCCATCTCCAATCCAGTTCTGCTACTAACATTTCTCCGTTACGTGGATTTAAAAATTAGAATTGATAATTAGAATCATTGATTTCACTGTAGGTCTCAACATTTATTGGATCCATTATATATTCAATGACTAAAATTATTAAGTCTAATTTTTAAGTCTATCTAATATTATTCTTTTCCGATATTTACCTAGGTAAGTTACGTCCTAAGATTCCTGTTGCCCGTTGCCCGAATGTCGCTGGTGCGCATTATTTTATTTTTATGTATCAAGTGGAATTTTAATTCAACAAATTAGAAAAAAAAAAACTATTTTTTTTTTTTGGCAACAGAAAGGTATTATGATCTTTTGAGTCTAAATGTTTTATTTTAATCCTAAACTTGAAGGATAAAATTTAATTTAGTTAAACTATTAATTACTCAAACCACAAGAACCAAAAGCCAAAAAAAAAAAAAAAAAAAAAGGAGCTTACCAAAGTCTGCATCCAGGCCGGCTCTGCCTGCTTTTTCCTTTTCTTCATTATCGTCTTCCCATTAAATGTTTTCCCTTTGTTCATTTTTTCTTGTTTTTCTCTCTCCCGACGGAGGCATCTATGTGGAATTTGTCGGTATGTAGAATGTATAAACCCTCTTGTTTTGTATAATACAATCCAATACCACAAAAACAAAGGCCTGCATAATTCAGGAGCCAGAAAGAGATGGCAAACAGCAACAATGGAACCATTTCTCACGATCTAATCTCTCTCCTCTCTTCAGAAAAAAGAGACTTCGTCGTCCGCAACAATGGCGATCAGGTGTACATTTAGTTATAAGCATATCATTTTTCCCTTTCCTCTCCAATCTCTCAACTTTTCATGTGAAGTAAACTGGTACATGTTTATGATCGGGATAATTTTTACAATAGCGTGAGACAGCGATCTCCAAGTTGACGAACTTAAAACAACAGGGTCAAAAAAAAGGGGATCAGGCGAGCGCCCGACTAATTGCCTCCGAAGCTTAAGTCAGTATAAAGTCGAAGAGTTTTGCTCAATAGACTATTTTTCTGATTTAAGTTTGCGTATCTTTGTCTATTTTTTTGAGGAGTATTTATACCTGAACTAGCAATGATTGTCAAAGATCTCCAGTCTCATCTGAACATCTTATATCTGACACACCATTCCTCATGCAATGAGTGTTTTCTACTCACGTCTCCTCCTATTGTATGCTAGGAAAATGGGGTAAATGTTTGGCCAAATGCCGAGCATTCATGCCACTCTCCGAATACCCAAATTTCCCAGATCGACATTCGACATCAACTGAATATTGAATACTCGGAGGAAACAGTTTTTCGGGGGAGCCAATCGCGTCATTTCGGCGCATCATGACAGTAGACTTAGACTCCCGGAGGACAGGTGTTGGTAGACTCGCATTTATTTGTCTTGTCACTTTCACTCATTCCGCCATAAATGAGGGGTTACATCGCATTAAATACGATGTCAGTTGTCATACCCGGCTACTCAGTGTCACCATACCTCGACTTACTTTTTCGGCGCCCTTTAGATATCTCAACTGCTTCATTATTCCATGTGTCGACCCGAGAACTGTAGAGTCACCTAGAGTCTCGCCAATCATATACACTTTTAAAGGCCTACTAAGTTATAAGTATACATTAATTTGGTTGTTAGTACATTAATATATATTTCTTAATGATTTGGGAATCATAGATCCGAAAATCTCTTTAAAAGTTGTATATATTTAACCCTCTACAAAGACCACACAAAAGTAAGAGTCTTGTTTGCTAGGTTACCTCTTTTAGGAGCTTATGTTTTTATCCTTAGTCGTCAATAACTATTCAAGGGATATTCAAGGGAACTCCAAGGGGTAGCTTAAGTGGGAACATGAACGAGTTATAAATTCAGACGTCATGAATTTGAATTTTAGTAAGTGACAGCTCTTTGGAGTCAGGTCATGAAGAATTTATCCCTTATGAATACCCTAATCCTAGGTGTGAATGACCTACTTTTGATCGGACCGGATAGGGGATTGAGATGCGTATAAGCTAGCCCATACACTCTCGACCATTGAATCGAAAAAAAAGGTTAATAGCACTTTTGGTCCTTAAAATATATATTTTTTGTCAGTTTAGTCTTCATCATATCAATTTTGTCAATGTGGTGCCAACAATTCGTGTCATTTGGTTCCTACATAGATGAACTGTAAGCTTTTGACAGAATCATCATGTGTTGAGCACGTGCATCTAAAAAATTAATACATGATCACTTCCATAAAAAAACTTGACGAATTGTTTAATTAGGGATCAAAGTAACACAAATTAAATATTTTAGGAGCAAATTGATAAAATTTTTATAATGAGAACTAAACTAACAAAAAATACTTACTTTGGAGACGAAAAATGCTAAAAAAAAATAAACTATTCAAGGAAGCCCAGAGCCCAGTTCACCAGATGCTTGTGCATACCTTTCTCCTACCCCATGCCATACTTGGGATTAGGAATAGCATGTCGAGTTTAGTTCATGCTACACAGAACTGATAAACAATTGAAAATGGAGTCTAATTTTGGTTTTTACAGGTTAAAATCAGTGAGTTGGTTGGAAAGATAGTGGGTTTATACTTCTCTGGCTCAAATTGTAGACCAAGTAGTCGTTTCAATCCACAATTGTTGGAGGTCTATGAAGAGCTCTCATCTAAAGGTGACTTCCAAGTAGTCTTTATCTCCTCTGATAGAGATGATGAATCTTTCAATGGCTACTTTGCTGAAATGCCATGGCTTGCCATTCCATTCTCTGATTCTGAAACACGTAAATGCCTCGAGGAGGTGTTCAAAGTTGAGGGAACCCCTCATCTAGTGATTCTGGATGGGACAGGTAAAGTTTCAAGTTCTCGAGCAGTTAATCTAGTTCGGAACTATGGCGCTGAGGGGTACCCTTTTACAACTGAAAGAGTTAACACTATGAGAGATGAAGAAGAGGCAGCTAAGAAGGATCAATCCTTGACATCTATCTTGGTTTCTAGTTCACGCGATTTTTTGATCTCAAATGGTGGAAATAAGGTCAGTTCTCTGCTTATATGTTAGTCAGCTATGCTTGAAAACTAGCTGTTCTTGTTTGATATTCAATCATTCGTATTTGTCATTTTTCTGGAGTTTTACTAGGTTCTTGTGTCGGAGCTAGAAGGAAAGATGGTTGGCCTGTATTTCTCAATTTTCCATAAAAGCGTTGTTGAGTTTACCGCAAAACTTGTAGATATGTACAAGAAACTTAAGGAAAAGGGAGAGGATTTCGAAATTGTGTCAATATCTCTGGATCATGAGGCTAAAAGCTTCAAACAAGGTTTTGAAACAATGCCATGGTTAGCTTTGCCTTTCAAGGATAAGTTGTGTGGAAAATTAATTCGATACTTTGAGCTTAGAGGACTTCCTACACTGGTGGTGATCGGTCCAGATGGGAAAACTCTGAACCCCAATGTGGCTGAACTCATTGAAGAGCATGGAGCCGAAGCCTACCCTTTCACACCTGACAAGCTTTGGGCGTTTGCTGAAATTGAGAAGGCAAAACTTGAAGCTCAAACTCTCGAGTCCATTTTAGTCTCTGAGGAACAAGATTTTGTAATCGAAAAAGGGGGTTCCAAGGTAAGATTTGTTGTTTCCAGGGTGCAATTTCATTAGTTCTTTGTATTATCAGATGATATAACCATTGCTACCCAATTTTTGGCTAGGAGAAAAAACAAAGATACAAGTTTTTTCTTAATTTTCTGTTATGTTGTTTGTTAGGTTCCGGTATGTGAACTTGTTGGGAAGAGCATTCTTCTCTATTTCTCAGCTCACTGGTGTCCTCCATGTCGTGCTTTTCTACCCAAGCTTATGACAGCATACCACGAGATCAAAGCAAAGGACGATGCATTTGAAGTGATTTTCATATCAAGTGATCGCGATCAACCTTCTTTTGATGAATTCTTTTCGACCATGCCTTGGTTAGCCCTCCCTTTTGGGGATGAACGAAAAGAATCCTTGGAACGCAGATTCCAAATAAGAGGCATTCCTGCTGTCATAGCAATTGGACCTGGTGGCCGGACAGTAACCACAAAAGCCAGGGCCCTCATACAAACTCATGGTGCTGAGGCCTATCCCTTCACAGAAGAGAATATGAAACAATTGGAGGAAAAGATTGAGGAAATGGCGAGGGGGTGGCCTGAGAAAGTGAAACATGAGCTCCATCCAGAGCATGACCTCTTAAGGATTCGTCGGGACATGTTTATTTGCAATGGCTGCAAGGAGATGGGGGATGGATGGTCTTTCTATTGTAGGGCTTGTGACTTTGATCTCCATCCAAAGTGTGCACTGAAGAAAGATGAAGAGACAAGGGAGGATGATAAGGAGAATGGTGATCATGGAGGAGTTGGAAAGGCAAAGGAAGGAGTGATATGCAATGGAGATGTGTGCCGTAAAGCATGAGGAAGCATTAGGAATAAATTCCCCTCTTTCATGAACACCCTTGACTTTGTACTTGGATGTCACATTTTTAAATGTGATATATGTTTTCTATATGAAATTTCATTCTATATATATAATGATTATGGTTTTTCGTTCTATTTTTCAAATTTTTTATGTTTGGACACTAGTTTAACTTAATAGAGCTTTCTAACTTTGACTAATATCAATTTCGTACACAGATGTCACATTCGTAAATGTGATATATGTTTTCATATAAAATTTAATTCTCTATGCACTGATTATAACATGGTGATTCTTTGTATTAGTCATAATCATTCAGATTTGGCACTTGTTTAACACAAATTTCTAATTTTGACCAACCTTAACTTCACGTCAGAATGTCGCATTTGCAAATGTTATATATATTTTCTATGTGGAATTTCATTCTCCATACACTGATTGTAGTAGTCCATTATTTGCCACGCGGTGATCCTTAGTAAATCCTTTACAACATTGTAATCCATAGTATCAGTCAAAATCCTTCGACTTTGGATGTTAATTTAACAAAACTAGGTCTTCTAACTTTGACGAACATTAACTATGTACTCATATATCATATAAACAAATGTGATATATGTTTTTTACGTAAAATTTTATTCACTACACACTGATTATAGTGTTCTATCTTTTACAACATGATGATTCATAATAGTATTAGTCACCATCCTTCAAGTTTGACACTAGTTTAACCGAAACTATCTAACTTTGATCAACCTTAACTTCGTATCCAGATATCCCATTCACATTCACAAATGTGATATATTTTTGCCATGGGAAATTTAATTCTCTATGTATTGCTAATAATGTTCCATCCTTTACAATATGATTATTCTTAGTATTTTTCACTTCATTCGGTTTAGACTCCAATTTAACACAATAAAGTTTTTTAATTTTGATCAACCTTAACTTCCTACCCGATTATCCCATTTACAAATATTATTATGCTTTCCATGCAAAACTTTCATACTCTATACACTGATTATAACGTCTCATCCATAAGAACACATATACAAGTGAAAATCGTGAAGATTGAGAAATGTAATAAAGACATAGCAATAGAGACGCACCAAATACATAGGAGGCTGCCCACACGTCGTTATATAGTGTTATAGCTACAAAAACAATAGACAACTTTGGATTGGCTTTACATGAATGTTACTTCTGCACTGAAATTGAGGTTTTTCTCCAGCCTAATCACTAGTCCAAATGTCTGTGTGTGTGCTGTGTGCGTGTGTGTGTGAGAGAGAAAGAGAGAGAACATAAAACTACAAGACATCAACAAATCCATTAATTTGATATAAGAAGAAATTCATTCATTTCTTTCTTCCTCATCGACCACGACAACTGAGACAACCTGAAAAATCCAGACCCAATTTCAAAACAATCCTCTCATCTTTTCTCTCATCCCTGTAAGGCCCTTCACTTTCTTGATCCTTCAAGAAACCTAGGAAAGCGAGAAAGCCAAAAAAGAAGAACCCACCTGACCAACCACCTCCGCCACCACCTCCACCACCTCCGCCATCATCATCACGGGGTGGAAAACCAGTTCCACCATCATCAAGTTCCGGAGACTTTTCCTTCCCTGGAATCCAGTAAAAAATTATGAACTATTTTGGACAACAAAATCCATCAAAAAAATATCTAACATGTAAATGATTGCACAACTTCCAATTTTGTAGCGGACAAAAATCTCCAGAGCAGTCATATATCACGAACCTGAGCTACTCTGTCTTTCTTTTTTTTTTTTTGGGGAGTGGGTGGGGTAATTTTTTTTGTTGATGTCATGTAGTTTTGTTTTATATCTCTCTCTCTCTCTCTTACACACACACACAAACACAAATACACAAAAAATAGAATTTCTACAAATAATGGGAGAGCAAGAAATTTAAAGATAAATAACCAACAGATTTCAACCGCAGCACAAGTGAAGTTACACGAGTCAGTAATAGAAGCAAGAAGAGAGCACCTTGAATAGGAGCAACAGTAATGGTTGATGACTGTCGTGTAACCGTTTGGGTTTGCTCTGCACCACATCTTGCATTCTGCAGAGGTAAAAAAAAAAAAAGCCAGATCAGGATTCCGGACCTAAAACAAATACAATGGAGCTGGCAATACCAAGTATCTATGAAGAAAAAAGAAAAACGAACAAAAAAAATTTACTAGAAACACATGTATCTTTAACATATCCCAACTACAATTTCCCTCGTTATTATCGATGTATATATGTTCACAACCACATATGGGATAACATGCGTACGAGTAGGATAAATATTTTGTGCTAGTAAAAGCTGTTGCTCCGAAAAAAATGTTGACACAGACACAAACAAGCATTCTTACAGCATCACATTTGGAACAACCAGTTGACAGAATCCTAGAGCCCCTGCTTCACATGCCAGAAACATATGCATGCCACCCCGCAGTCCCCACCATCGAGGTAGAAACCAGGTTCATATCCAGCCTGGGTAAGCTCTACATCCAAGCTTCCCTCAGACAGAACTGTCAGCGGAAGGACTCAAATGCCCCCCTTACAACACAATTTTATGAATGAACACGTCAAAAAGCATGTAGGTGATCCTTACTTTTTCACATTATTTTGCAAATCACAGAAAAAAAAGAGCCCATCACTATTTAATGAATAAGCGAGTCAAAAGACATGCAGGTGCTCCAGAAATTTAGCAAACATCAAACTTACCAAAGCAGCAGCACATATTATAGAAGCAGGCTCCAATCCAATAGTACGTGACATGGGTCTTCTTCTATCAAAGGGTTGAAACTGTGTGACAAGTGGATTGAAGTCTAATGGACAAAATCCAATATGCCCGATTTGCTTTCTGGATTTAACCTCTGTTCTCACTGTGACAATGATAAGTCAACTAATAAGTACCATAAAACCACAACATGCTCACAATCCAAATCTGAAAAAAATAATATTCATGCATATGTGCACACACGAGTATGATGAATCTTTAAAAAGTCCTTAAAATGATGCATCAGTGCTGAGTGTAACTGCAATGGTATTCAAACAACTTTCAGAAACTAATATGTCATCCCATCGCTCATTTCAAAAATGAAGCTAATATGCCATCTCAATGCTCATTCCACAGATTCAATGAGTGGAGGAACACAATCGAATCCAACGTAGGTACATACACATACTAGAAGTACCAGTGCCAACATAACCTTCTTTATATATCAACAGTTTTAAAGAGTGACAGAGAGCAAACTCATATATCCTCGCCAAATGTTATTACCGTCTAATTCAAATGACAAGTATAGTTACGCCACTTTCAATATCACATATACAAATTAAAATCTTCCATATAGGTAAGGTAATGGAATAGATAAAGACATACCTATTGGCAACGTAGCTGGGCAGGCTATAGCATTTGCAGTCAAAGAAGACATCTTTGATGTAAATTAATAAAGTCACCTGGATATTTAACGATTTGCATTAGGCCAGAAATCGTGGTATAAACTCTTGATGACTTTGATTGAATACAAATTCAAGTAATGATGGCTTATATACGACTTTCAGAGAACAAGAAAGCTAAAAATCAAAGGTTATCTGAAAAAAATCAAAAGAAGTGGAAACAAACTTTTATTTCAATTAAACAAACAAAAATCAGCAGCCTATCTAGTGTTTGGATAGAAGAGGTATTCCCCGTTTTTTTGCTAGCTTTAAAAAGTAATTTCCTCTCTAACACAGAGCAATATTAGTATATTACAATAAGGTAGAGAATTATGTGAAACATTTTTTCTCCAGATATTTTGACAGTATTTTTTTTGGAGGATGGGGAAGAGGATGAGATTGGAACCCGCAACCGCCTGGCGGAAGTGAGCCCCTACCACTGGCTACTCCATCACCTCAGCATGCCCTGCTTACAGGTTCAATCAAACGTAAATTTTGCTTTACATTTAGTCCTAATAATGAACTCAAGATGCCATTAAATGAATTAGATGACCAGAAAGAAAATTATTTGTAGGCTTCGGTCTAGAACATCCAAAATTGAGCTCAAAGTCATCTCATTTACACCTCGGATTTGTTTGTCTGATAGAAGATGCTTTTCAAGAAGGAAAAGAACTATATTTCCCAAAAGAAAGATCTTTTTCCGTAAAACAATGAACAACACTTCTTTAAGTGAACATAGCCAATCTTCTACCATAAATCACCGGAATTGTCCGGTGACACGAAATGGATTAAAAATAGAAAGTTCAAGAAAAGGAGTTGGGGTAAATCTTCAGCTGAAATGAAACGAATACTAACTCGAAAATCATAAGTAATGTGACAATGAATTACAAAAGCCCTACATACAGATCAAATAAATATATATAACACGATGTTTCGTTCATTTATGGAAGTCCGACACAGAGGGAGGAATTATACCTCTAATTGGATGGAAATTAGTGGATAAAATCGAAGCTCCGGTTCGGGATGGCGTAGATAGAGACTGATGCGCCGCCAAAGAAGAGGAGAGGACGACAGCTCCGTCGACGGAGGTTTCGGGGATAGATAAGCGGAGAGAGAGTCAGGGGCGTTCCAGAACCGCCTCTAATATATTATTTAATAAATTACACTACCATCCCTTGAATTTTTTCTTTTTGACGCAATTACCCCAGAAAAATCTAAACAAAAAGATCCTCTGTAAAATATTATATCTGCAAAAAACCAATATTTAAATAACTAACATTAACTTCTTATTCCTTGTTGAAACAAGATAATCGTGTTGTTTAACTTATTTCCGGTTAAAACAAAATTAATGTGAGTCGAGTCCCATTACTCTAGAGATCTTTTAAGAAATTGATAGGCAATTGATGTTTCTATCATTAAGATGATTGACGATCTCGGACTTTCTCATTTTACAAACATGACGAATTAAATATATGTATCTATTGCAGCATCTTTCATTTCAAATGATTAGATTCGTCGATTTCAGGACTTTCAGTCAAATGTCAAGTGATATCTTTCTATTTTTATCTCTTTTCTCTTTTACTCGTTAAAGATTTTGTTTACATTGCAGATAACACTCTCTTAACCTTTTCACACCGTGGGTTTATGCCTTCATCCTGAATTCTTCATGATATCCTTTGGTTAATCTCATTTTGCACTGTGAAAAACACTTCGATTCTTAATTTACACTTTCAAATATTAAAAATTTTAATTTGTACACTCAATGTTATGAATTGGTAGCAATATGTTTCATATGAATTGTTGTTCAATTTTTCAACATAATTTAATGCACGTGAGTTATAAATGCTTCAAATATAGACATATGTATAAATTCACAAACTGTTATTGTCTTATATGAATTGCACATGATAGAATTTGTCTTTATCTTATTAATAAAACCTTATTTTCGATATACAAGCCACTGTCAAACAATGTTCAATTAATCATAGGCGAAAATCTACAATGATGGGCATACCTCACCATCATGCCGAAGCACTTACATCTCACATTTAGCCACCGTAGCTCACTGATACATCATTTACCACGAAAGAAAATGGAAACGAAAAAACAACATTAGAGGAATCTTGAATAATTTTATTTGCAACTTCTCAACTCGAACAGTAATGAACCCCAAACAGACATTTCCAAATGGGTATTGGCTTCATGAATAAGCAAATCTAGTGAGAGTGGTTGGAGCCACTTATACTCTGAGCAAGTCCAGCATTTCTGTGATGCCGGCACCGGAAAGACCCAGCATGTGTCGTCGGCGAGCAAAGACAATGGCCTTGTGCTTTTGATGGTTTCGTCAACCCTCCTGGTCCTGGTGATGGCGCATTATTAAGCACAGCCATCTGGTTCTTTATTGCTTCTATGTCTAGTCTTGGCCCGGCAAACTTTCGAGGCTTGTGCAGCTCTTCATCCATTCTCATACGATTATTGCAAACAAATTACTTAATGCAGCTGAAAAAAAGAAAGAAGTTTCTGTTCATTTTACAAAATAACACCCTTTATCTAATCATTAATAAGTGTCATCGATTCTTATTGCATAGATAAATTTTTACAATAGTTTGAGATCACTATACCACAGTAAAAATTATGCAATTTGTTCATGTAATAATGAACAAGGTTAGAATGAGATTGAAAATGTGTCTGACTTATTCTCTCCGAGGTCTAAGCCTGTAAGTGTTCAAAGAGAGGACAAGACTTTTTTTGTGCTAAGGTATTTGTGGTGCGTATTTGAACCTAACTCATTGGGTTATTTATACCTTCTATCAGGATGAGGTGGCAACATAGGGGTCTTATCAAGCCGGTTGAGGGAACCTCCATAAAAGTAATCATCAATGAGTCATACTTTTCTCAAGCCGTGCAATTACTAGGCTTGGGAGATGTTGATGTTTTCTCGAGATCTAGTCTTGCAATGATTATCTTATCTAGGACGCCGAACACTCAATGTACGTTCCCTTAACATTTAATGATTTCTACAAAGCATTTATTAAGTTGTGGTATTCACTCATTGTGTTGTTATCGAATGTTTGATTCGTGTTAGTTGGATTTTTTTGTGGAGTCTAATTTTTTATGTTGATTTGGATGATAACTCAACTCAAAAAATGTTGCGTGATTTTTAATGGAAAATTTTTTGAAGCTTAGTCTATGGAGCGAAGGCCTGAACCGATAGGTTTTTTTTTGGGTCTGTTTTTTTGTAACCCGGTGCAAGCCATATAAAACATGTTTCTTTTGGGTGATTAGGGTTGATTGACTCTGTTCGGCCGCCGCCCTTTCTGTAATCGTTCTTGAGAATAGTGAAACTCCTGTAACTTCGTGGACGTAGACAAATTGTCGAACTACGTATATATTGTTTTGTGCGTGTGATTGTTTTTCTTTGGTGTGTGTTTTCTCTATTGTTGTTTCTCACAGGTTTGAGAATTTCTGTGTGAATTTCCTAACACGTGTGCCCTGAGAAATTCATGACAATAAAAGTTGTGCCCTTGAGAAATTCACGACAATAAAAGTTATGTTTGTTATTCAAATTTTATAAGATTCAAGGTACATTTTGATGTTACTTGTCTGTTAAAACAATCATCCTCTGTGACTCGTTGTATCAAGGTGGACTCATATCCTTGCCCAGCATTAAATACTCGCCCCTATGATGCACTTTTTGCCCTTCGCATATTGGAGTATGTCCCTCTAGGTTCTGTCGATGTTGCATTGTTTATGTCCACCTTTCATGCTCTAATATGAAAGTCGTTTCGTGTCCGGTTGCTTAAATTTTTATTTTTGTATTGGAATATGTTCTTCTACTCAGATTAAATGTTCATGCTACAAAACTGTTTGTGTTTGATTTTTTGTTGGGCGAAATGGAACTTAACCGCCATGGAATCAACAGAATTGATGATGATGATGAATCTATATGATTCGTCCAATTGACAAGGGAACTTGTCCCTCGTCCCAAGTATCTTGTGATCGAGAGAAAATTTGATGATCCAACGAAAAATTCATGCACTACTAACTTAAACCTCTGTTTAATGTAAATAAACAATTGCATATCTATATACACAGAGCAAAATCAAGAAAAAATATTCATGTAATCCATGTTAAATAATTTAGACAAGACTCGGGATTCATCTCGTTTTTCGATACTCATGTATGATTATAATAAATTTTCAACAACTTACTGCACAAAATTAACCACATTACCTGGACACCATGCAAGGAGATATGAACCAGCAGGAGCTTACCGGGCTGGGATATCTCCTTGTTTCCGCCCAAGGACACGGGTATGAGAGACAGAGAGAGTAATTTCTCCTGAAAGAGAGAGGGGTAATTTTGAAGTTCACCCCAAAAAGGGTAAACCCAAGTGAGGAATATGAGAAACCTTGTTAATAGCTTTCTGGCCTCTAACCACCTCTAGTTTTCTGTTTGCTATAACAAATTTGATGGTCATTCCTAATCAGCAATTTGCCACCACAAGTTCTATTCCTTCTCCAAACGCCGTAGTTACAGATTTTTTTTTTTGCTTGGGAAAAAAAAGGGTGGTGGGTGGCAAAGGGGAATAATAAAAAACCAAATCACGAGACTCCTAACTAAACCCATTACTCCTCTCGGAATACTGGAGCTTACTTCTTTTTAAATGATACCTGCGTTGGTACACCAAAAGAGAAGCATATATCAACATTCGGCTTGTGGTTCACAGGCTACCCCTAAGTCAGGTGGCCCATCGGGCAATGACTTGGCCCGGACCCTGGGCAGCCCCAATAGCAAGGCACCCTTATGGAAGGACCAAAATATTTAGGTGAATAGTTAGCCCAAATAAAAGTCTAAATTTGTAAGAACATAAGGCCCACAAATAAATTAAGTAGTTTGGGCCATGTATCCAACCCATTAAATATCCCATAGAAGTTAAAAAAAAATAAAAAATTTATGGATAGCTACTATATAAACTACTTATTTGTGGTAAAATATCATGCGAAAACTCTACCGTAGATAAGTACTCATACTTGTAAATGTCTTGAATCTAAATACATATTGATAGTTTTTTAAATATTTTATTTTACCTAAATACCCTTTTCTATAATTAATGGATAGTATTTTTAGACAGTTATCTTATTTGTGAGATTTGATTTTATTATATCCACAGATTCCAATTTTAATGGATGAGGGAGGACATTTAAATTTTGAACGTGCATCTTCTTCTTCCTATTTAACGTATGGTTTTCTATCTAAGTCATTATCAATTTTTTCATCAATAAACAATATCATCATCTGTTATCACTGTGATTTTCGTCGTTCCATTCAAAAAATTCTATTAAGATATTGTTACAAGTATTATTTCACAGGTCATCTCAACGGATTTGTAATTTTATAGTTGAATGACATCAAGTTTGGATATATATGTTCTATGTTAATATAATGACCCGTTGATTTCAAATGCATAGAATTTAACGTCAACAACTAAATGTTTTTCATGTTATTTTTTTAAGTTAATCAATTGTGGTTGTGTCTTCCGTTAGTGTCCAGCGTGTTGTTAAACTGTGACACAATGTTTCTTATAATGTGACAAGCAGCGTTGGATACAACAACTCATTATTTTTATGTCACATTGTATCAAGCATGTCATTTAGTTTATGAAACAGTCAGACAATGTAAATATACATTATTTGTCATAGTATTACAAATAGAATAGTGTCAAGCGAGTGTTATATTGTGTTCTTTAAACCGCATTTGGGGGGGGGGGGAGGACTCGTAAAATACTTCCGCTAATAGTAGAGAATCCTCATCACAGAAGAGTGTATACAAGGTTATAACAGTCTTTTTTACTACTAAATGGACATTTTTTCAAAACATTTTTTAGAGATGATTTTTTCACAAATAAATGTCTTATGGTATATTGGCTTTCAAAAAACCAATAAGTAATCTACCAAAAGGTCAACAACCCAATTCTTAACTAGTTACTCTCTCTATCTCCTATAACACAATCATCATATTAAACAATCTTCTTTACACATCTAACACTATTGAAAAAAAACCTTCTTACTTTTGTAAACACAAAACCACTAATTTTGTAGGGAGATTGATTACCCAATTTTGAAAGTTTAGATTTGCTTTTAGTGCTAAATATTTTTCAAAAAACTTTACAAATAAGAAAAAAAAATACTCTAATTGAGATACTAGAATATATGAAAATGTTAATTTTTTTTTCAAATGCATTCATTATTTGCAGAATATTATTGACAATTTTTATAACAACTGTTTATGCAAAAGAAAATTGTTTCAAATAAAATTTTATTTAAGATCAACTACTTTGAGGAGAAAAATTAAATAGATTATCAATTATATTAACAAAACCTCATTATAAAAATCTAAGTAGTACTTTTACATCTCAAAAAACAACAAAAAAAAAAAAATATTTTAGAAAACTTTTTATTATTAGTAGAAAATAAATAAATCTCATTTATATTTGTCGGTTTTAGGTCTCATATTATCTTGGGCTGCACCCGCTCGGGCCGGGCCTTTATCCTGTCGAGGGTGACAAGTTTGTATAGCATCCAAAAGGCCAATTCAAACCGGTTGGGGCCATCTTTCCTCACGGCAGGCCATCCCATACAGTATGAAGTGCACTTTGCAGTTTGGTCTTTTGTTGTGGCTTTTCTTTGCCTGGTTAGTAAATTGTTATGAGAAGTTTTGGCCAGGTTAACACTAAATAACATGTAACTCAAAGTGGATGCCTAGAGATTTTATGCATACATAGAAAATTGGGTAAAGACACAAAATTCATTTTATTTTTCCTCGAAAAACAGAAGCAAAATAAACATTGGAAGCGACAATTTGCTGCATTCTCGGTCATTGCACAGGAATGCAGCTAGTTTATTTGAGTAGTATTACAGCTTCCTGATCTACAATACAGCAAGCAAGTAAAGGGAGACTCAGAAGCCAAAGCAAGAAAGCTGATGTCCATAAGATACAACACAACATCCCAACATTTCGGGAATGAATATTTTCAGGTTTAGACTTTGAATCTCTCTCTCTTACTTCTGCCTCTGATATATCTTTGCCAAGAAAGATTTCAACACTGCTTGTACTGCTGTACTTGAATGAGCTTCAATGAATTTGATTAGCTTTTCATAACTCTTGCTCTCATAATCTGCAAATACATCCTGCACAATTTCCCCAAGACGAAAAATGTGGGATATCATTATCAACTTGCTGTTTTCAAAACTTAAATAACTTTCAGTCACTGTAAAGCAGGAGATAGTAAACCTGAAGATTGAGAGTTTCATAAAGCTCCTTCACTTTTGCTACACAAGCTGGATCCTGTTTACCATAGTTCTCCTGCGACAATGCTTTACCTGGGTAAGCAAATCTGATTCTAATCGCAGAAATGAAAAAACAGAAAGATAAATCCTTTCTTACATATAATAACTTCTTTTGTTCCTCGTTCACAAGTTCCAGTGCTTTCACAACCAACCAGGAGCACTTAAAATCTTTGATATCAGTTCCAATCTGACAGAATAAACAGATGACATAAAGATTACTAGTTCTGTATCTAAAAGAGCCTGAAATCAATAAAGATATGCATTAGCAACATCCAATTGAAGATATTCCTGGAATTTACCTTACCAATCACCTCAGGATCACCAAAACAATCCAGATAATCATCCTACAAAGATACCATTATCAGCAGCAGAACGTAAACTGAGTTTTACTATAGCCTTTCAGCAAAGGTATCTAAATGCTCTGTTTAGATGCTGAGAAGGCAGTAAGGCATCAGAGTGATGTTCCAATATTCCAACTTGCACCAAACAGAACAATAAATATTGCATCATGCAAATAGCACTGACCTGCACTTGAAAATAAATTCCCATTTCAACAAGTATGTTCCCCACATCAACATGATTGTTCAGATTCTCACCCGCCATAAGAAGGGCACAGGCCACCTTGACACGGAAAAAAAGTCATTATCAACTTTAGTTGCACTTGCCAAGGGTGTTGGTCATTCGGTAACCATATGCAAATTAAATTCAAGAAAGACGCTAGTTCTACAATGTCTAACCAGAGCAAACAAACGTTCGGAAACATAGGAGTGTCATTTAAAAACAAAGAGCATTATTTTTACAAGAACAAGGTCAAGTCAGAGGTGTGCTCAATTGAGAACTCTGAAAAAAAATATATCTATAGAAAAGAATGTAAATATGATCACTTGGAACAGAACACCATGAGTTAGGAAAGCATTGAAAAAAAAAGGAATTCCAACTTACTGGAAGGTAAAATGAGTAGTAAGCAGTTTTGTACTGAACAATCCGACGGTGACTGCATAAGAACGCAAAATTAAGTACATCAGAAAACACACAAAGGGCATCACTTCTTGTAGAAGTTAAAATAACTAGAACTTACAAAGATAGAAAATTCTCACTTACAGAGGCAATGAGTACTTTGATAGATCTTTTTCTCCTACCAGTGTGGTGATCAGATCTATCATCTGTCCAGAGGTCGTCTGGAATTCTACCTGTTCAAACATGATCAAGATTGATTTGCACGTCTAGGAAAAAATGTACTTCACTGGTCTTATTAAATACACAAGATTTCACCTCATTAAATAAATCGAGCAGATCCACATAATAAGGTTTTTCTCGGAAATGCTTTTTGAGTATTCTTGGGATATGGTTGCGAAGTAATATCCCATCATTTGCAGCAATCATACCAACCTAGGACATATGTTCAGACACTGATTATTCACTGCAATCACAATCATGATAATAGAAGTGATAGAACAGTAAAATAAAGGATGGTAGGTAATTTCTCAGTAAGGTTTCCACCTTCGGTAATCTGTACCAACAGAGTTGACCACGCCTTGTATGAGAGTTATCCATGATATCATCGAGAACAAGAAAAAATGCTTGAAGCTGCAAGAGTCATTGCAAGTTTTAAACTACACATAACCATAGGGGAGCTACTAATACAATGGCTGTCACAACAAACTACGACGCGCTTGCCCACAAATAGGAAAGTTACAGTGTCAACATACCCATTCGATGCACCAACCAAGCGCACAAGCCAGAAAAACTTCATCGTCGGTCAATTCTTTTCCTTCTTTCAGCAACTTGTAGCTGTCAATAACAGAAAGCCCTCGGTTCAGCTTTCCTGCAGGTAAAATACATCAGTATGAGCTGTTAAACATAGCATGCATCTCTTAAAGATACTGTCAGAGCAAAATTTGTTCTCTTCTCATGGAAGCAGGAACTCCAGAAGAATCAGGCCAGTGAAAATGAGGTCAACAAACTATTAGATCATAATTGAGGTAACTATCATGTTCCCACCTCCAGGTACATTGTAGTCCAGCATCTGCAATGAAATGGGAACACCGACACAATTAAACGCACAGAAACGGCTGGGCACAACTCAAGTTAAGGAGCAGAAATAACAGTAAGCTCTTCAATAGTATGCAACAATAACCAATAACTTATCAGATACATCTAGAAAGTTGAATTCTTAACTTATAAAAACACAACAATGGTCAAGATTAATCTAATTTTTATCTACTTTAATCCAACGGTACATAATTCATCTCAATTCTGCCCCCTCCCTTCAAAAACATCATTTTCTTTTTAATACCTTCAATATAAAACAACTCAATCAGCACACTTTCCAATACCAAATAACCTCACTAATCCACACCTACCTCTATATTTTCTCTCCTCAGCTTCTCTTTTATGTTCTTTCTATTAATTTTAATTATAAATTGCATAATTAAATAAAAAATAAATTATTTAAAATGCAACATTTGCAATATCAATGTTCAATTTTGGGTATTGCCGAGTGCCTTAAGGCATGGGGTTATTGTTAATTCACTTATATTTATATAAAGGCACACACATACACAGAACCAATTAAAAAGATGCCAGGTTCGGACTGGTTCAGTTGGTGAAAAAAATTCTATAATGGTTTCTTTTGCCAAATATACCCAAAAGAAAGCTTGTTCTTCAGTCCATACTACTAGGATGACAACAACAAATGAAAGTTACTGTAACAGTCCAGATGTGAAGATATTGCTCATGAAATTTTTATCAAATGAGAAGGGAAAAAGGGATATTTCTAACTTAAAATTACTCCACAGCCTGGACTCCTATAGACATATCCACGCATAACCATGATGTACCGAGTCGACAATTTGCATGCCAATGGGCCATTTATCTGCACTTTCATACGTCTTTCTCAATCTTTTGACTAAAGTTGTAAAATTATAAACATGATATAGTTGATCATTAGGCACTTGAGTCTGAGAACAGTAAAAATCAAATATCCGCCAATTAAATATGTATACCAAAAGTACTAAAAACTGACAAAAATATTCTCTAGAAACCCAAATTTCTTTGAAATAGAAAGTTACTTGAAAACCTAATAGTTAATAGTTCTATAAATTAATGATTTTGTACCTCCCATCATTATTGATTACAGAAAGTCACATGTATATTCGAATCCTTTCTTCAAAACAAATGGTAGAACAAGCAGGGCATCATATGTGCCAACAATGAGAGAGAGGTTAAAGTGTTATTTTTTCAGAGAGTTGTAGAATATGGACTTCCCATAAATTAGCACTTTGTACCATAGAATATAACAAGTATATGATTTTATAAGATCAGTCCCATAATTCATAGTTTTCCTTGAATGTAACCTCCTCATTCACCCTTCTATTTTCTATTATGGATTCCAATACAATTACTCATATACTAATCCTTTGATCAATCAATTTTCATCATAAACAACAAACATATCAAGAAAGCATTCAACTAAGAATCCATCTGAGCAAAGTTACAAAAGACCCCAAAAAAAAAAAATCAAAATTTAAATTTTAAGGTACAAAACCAAATGTTTTGACACAAATAACGTAAAATTAAAATATATTTAAGTCAGAATCCGACATCTGAGACCAGACAAAATAAAGCCAACCCCTTAAACGCATAATTCAGGGGAAAAATGTGCACATTTACCAAAGAAAAGGGCATATGAATGTTCATAAGTGTACCCATAAGCAGAGATCAATAGCAGAACTCAAAAGATTTTATGTAATTTAAATGATTACCCGTTCGACCCATTGACGAGAATCGTCGGTGAACTCGAAAGCAGGGTCATTGAGTAGCTCCGATTTCAGGATTGAGTAGACCTCCAGAAATTTCGACTTCAGATCGCTCATTGTTCTCGAAAGAGGGAGAGAAAAAATTGCGAGCTTCCACAGATGGTCGAAATTACCGAGAGAGAGTGCGAGCGTGCGAGAGTGCGAGTGTGTGTGGTTGCCAAGAGTATTTGTAGGGTAATAGGACGCTGTACTTCGTTGAATGAGGAGTGGCTTATACAGTCTCCACCCACCATTTTTTTATTATTATTGGAATGGGTGGTATACCAACCAGTCGTATAACGGAGAGTTTGGTTAGATTGCGGTAATTATCTTTTTTTTTTTACGGGACAAATTTCAATAAGCATATTTGGCGGTGCTTTCTAATTAATCCTAGTTTATTTATATGAAATGTTGATTATAATTTTTATGATCCCTATTTGCTTATTTATTTGGGAGAATTATATTTAAATTTTTTGAAGTTTATCACTTAATTACTCAGACTGTTTGTTATTTAAAATATTATATACAGACCATGAAGTTTGTACTTAAGTGTGTGCAGAATATTCGTTAGTAAATTACACTCAGATCTCTTAAAGTTTGTAAACATATAATATTTTGATCCTTCAAGTTTTAAAATGTTATATATTTAGACAAAAAATACTTCAACCAAAGATAGAATATCAAATATTTTAAATTTTATAACAAAAAATCATATTTTATTGTATCATTTATTGAAATTTTTGGTACGCATATGGGGAATGATTACTTGTGTGAGGATATGAATCAAACAATTGCAAGAATACTAACTACCCTACAAATTTTAGGATTTTTAAAGCAATCTTGGATGATCCGTGAGACCTGTAAGTAGAGACATTGATTTTGGTATAGTTTTCATACAACAAAAGAAGGATCTGCTAACAGTTGAAAATGGCCACCCTTTGATTGTCCATTGAGGTTGTTGAGATGTTCTTCAATTTGTCTCTGTATTAGAAATTAATTTGTATCTTGTGCATAAAACTTTCATTAATGACAGTGTCTGAAAAACGTAAATCATGACTATGGTTGTGTTCAATAAAACTGAAAGCTGAAAGCTGAATACTGAATTTGTGGACTATTTGACATTTACTGAAATTTAAGTAATGAATTAAATCAAATTGTTTGATAACTACACAGAACTGACGTTTGAAAATAAATTTACTTTTAATTTTACCCTTTCACTCTTTAATTTAAAAATATTTATAAAATATATTTTTTATCTAATAAAAAATGACAATATATCAAATCAATAACAAATTGAATAATACAATAATTGAAAAATAACATCTGATCAATAGAAAAAGAACAACAATAAATAAATAATTGAATCATAATAAGTGAACAATAACAAATTAAATTACACAATAATAGAACAATAACATTTGATAAAAAAAATAATAACTAATAAATAATCGGATAACAATAAATAAATAATCGAATTAAAAAATAGAATAAATTAAATCTCATTAATAATATATGTGTGTGTGTGCAGTGAATGTGAGTTTGTGTTTTAACATGTTTATTTGTAGTAGACGAGTGAAGAAAAAAAAAAGAAGAAGAAGAACACCTATTATCTGTAGAAGACGATTGACAAGGAAGATAGATAAGTTAGAGATTTTGGAAATAATACTAATTAGAGTTTTAATATGATTATAAAATATTTTGGAGTATAATTGTTATATTATAAGTATTATTAAAAATAATTTTACTAAGCACTTTTAACTTTCAGAATTAAGTAAGGGATCTCTTACTTAATATTGTAGTTTATTTTAAAAGAGCACTTAGCATATTAAGAGCATTAAAATTTAGTTATCAAATTAGTTTAATTAATAAATGTTAAATATATTTATTTTAAGTATTAAATTTAAATTAATAAACACACCCTAACTATAGGAATTAATATTCAGGAAGACCAAAAAAAGTGTAGCAAAGCTGACCCACAACTTGTGCACAACACTCAAAAACTAGGATTCATCGTTTTTTTGTCAAAGGATTCATCTTATTTGAAGAGCCAGTTTCACAACTTTTTCAACGATCTTGCTTTAAAAAAAAATTATAATTTTGGTTATTTAAGTGGGTTGGTTTGATGAGAAATCAGCACCCATGACATGACAATAGGCGGCTGCTCAAGAAAGTCATATTGAGGGTTGCTGAATATTCAACTGTCTCCAAAAATTATGTCATGCAGAGTCTACGAAACTACCTAGCTTAAGTAATAACAATGACAAGTTATAAATTTAAATATTTTAAATTTAAATTTTAATAATTTTTTAGGTACACTATATAAAGAATTTATCTCTCATAAATAATTTAATCTTGACATAAATAACTTATTTTTGACCTAACAAAAAAGAAAATTAATCGAACTATACGTAACCTAGTTTAAACACGAAAGAGAAAATAGGTGGTCTAATATTCAATTTTTTAACTTTAGAGAGTAATTAGGAAATCAACCACCTTTCAACTTTTCTTTTTTTTTTTATTGTTATCTATACTCACCAACCAATTAATTGCAATTGTATGTCTCCTGCATACTTAAGAAAAGAAATAAAAAGACAGCTCACTAGATAACGTTTCTACTATCTCAGGGTTTGAAAAGAGAGAGATATACATAATCTTACTTTCGAGTTGAACTCACTGTGTGTAGACAAATATCATGGAGAAGCAACCAATCCAACTACCAAAACCCAAAGGAATACATGTCCTAAAATCATTGACACAATGTCACTATGTGTGCCTTTAATGTACAACAAACTCACTCACGCCATCCATAAAAAAGAAGGAAACAAGGCTTGGAAAAAAAATTGTAGCTTTAAAAATCATCAATAACAATAAAAACTAGAAAAGAAAATTCAAGGTCGGGGTTAATTTAGTAACTAGTAAATACTCTGTTCATGATAGAAAATAGTTATTTACTTACTTGTAAGTTTGTTATTTGATAGTTTGATATTATGTGATAATAATAATAGAGTATTATCATTATTATCATTACACTGAATAGCTACTCCGGATCCAAGTATAGTGCAGAAATTGGGCCAATCTTTTCTACGACACCGTTTTAATGGGTTACAACGTTAAATTAATAATTCATCATAAGTGGCAATGGTAAAAAAAGTAAATAAAAAGGCTCTTATTAGAGATGACAGTGGACCGAGTAAAAATGGATATTCGTCCAAAGTTGTCCTGTTTGAACTGGGAATGAACCATACGTATTAAACAAATAACGTATACGAAAATACCCGTATAAACCTGTATAGGGATGAAGGTGGGGATGGACAGACACTTACCCTTATCCTGCCTCCGCCCCGCCCCACCTCTCCTCGCTCTGCTCTACCTATTATTATTATTATTATTATTATTATATATATATATATATATATATATATATATGTTGGTGTGAATACAAATTTACATATTATTAAATTTTTTTTTTTTTAGAAATTTTTTTGTTTTTAAATTTTTTTTCATAATTTTGACTTGTAAAAATGTAGTTTTTTGTGTTTTTATATTTTTTTTATGTTAGATTATATTATATTACATTATGTTGTGTTGAATTTACAAGGGAGATAAACTTTTAATTATATTATGTTGGATTTATGTTGTAGAAAAGATTTTACTTATATTATGTTATAAATAATAAATTTTTAATTATGTTATATTATTTAAGTTGATAGATTTATTTAAAATTTTAAATTATATTGCCCTAGGTTTGAGCTTTCGCTTGGGCGAGTAAGGCGGACAGGAGTGTGGGCGGAGGTGAAAGCAGAGGCGGGGATTACATATTTATCGATGAATGGGGATAAAAATAAAAACTATAACCGTCAACTAAATGAATCAAGAATGAACCGAATCTTTTTAAACGGGTACGGACATGAAGCCAACACCCCCGCACGCCGTCCACTGCCAATCCCTAGCTCTCTTTCTCTCTCTCGCTCGCTCGCTCGCTCGCTTTGTGTGAAGTCTGGAGGGTCGAAGGGCATCATCAGAAGGTAAATATCCTAATCTCTCTCCCACTCCATCTTCCTCTATCTCTTAGAACAATTTCTTTGTCATTGTTATCTAGAAAATCACCAAGCCCTAGGGTTCTAGTTTTAGGTTTAGTATTTTACCGACGAGAATCTATATTAGGGTTTGTTTCCCTTTCGATTGCTGCAATACGTTTAATTCTTGATTGTGTTAGGGTTTCTATGAATGTATTCTGTGCTCATCCTTTGAACTATCACGTTAGAATTTTTTGGCATTCAATCAATCCCGGTATTTTGAACTCCCAATCCTTCACACAACAAATAATTGGTTATTTTCATTCACACGATCCATTATTGATGACTTCCTAAGGAACTCGGCTAAATAGCGCCGTAAGTTCAGAATCCTGTCACAAAGGGGGTTGCAGTGACCAGGCCCGGGCGACTGAGAGACAAAGTTGTATTTCATCATGTTGGGTTAACTTGAATATGTTTTTAATTCACTTGAAATATATGGGATTGCTGTTCTTAGCTTTCCTTTCTGCTTGGATTTTTTTTTTTTTGGCTATACAAGTTCTACATATATTTGCTTTGCTGTTTTCAGTCTATTGAGAATACTTAGACACCATGACGACTGCGGCTAGACCCACATGGGCACCTGCTAAAGGTGGTAACGAACAAGGCGGTACTCGAATTTTCGGCCCATCTCAGAAATATTCTTCAAGGGACATTGCATCTCACACAACCCTAAAGCCAAGGTTAGAACTTGGGAACTTTTTTATAGAATTTCAAGTATGTTGTTTTATTCCAATTCGCAAAACTTTCATTCTGATTTTAAACTTGCTGCTACAGGAAGGAAGGGCAAGACACCCATGATGAACTGCAGAGGAGGAATCTCCGTGAGGAGTTGGAGGATCGTGAGAGGAGGCATTTCTCTTCAAAGGATAAGGCCTATATGGGTAAATGGGTTTTTGGCGATTGCCTTTTGTCACACATCATTTCTTTCATTTGATTCCATGTCATGTCATTACTAAATTGTCTTTGTCTAAACTTGTATGTGAATGTTTGCAGAAGACAGAGACCACCGGAGGAAGGGAGGCCATCTTTTACTGGAAGGTGAATCAACCCGTTTTTTTGAATGAAAGGCTAAAATAGAACACTTTATACAACATATTTATATGCCTATTTTTAGTCAACTAACTCCATAGTCAATTTACAGGGACAAAGAGGGAGGTTGAAGATCGCATCATTCCACGCAATGCAGATGCTGATGATGCTGATGTGGACATCAAAAGTGACGATGAGAGGTTTTTACTCTTGGCAACTATATTTATTTTGATCATGTCAATGCTAACGATGCCCACCGGTGTTATTCAATGATCAAAACACATGGTATACGACTCTTTGCAAGTTTTGGCCTATACTTGGTTATCAATCAAATTTTGTACTGTGAATTTGTTAAAAGTATCTCTATGGTTCTTTTTTTCCCCCCTCCTTTGTCATTGCAAATGTGTGGGGGCCGTGGTGTGTGGGTTCATTGCTAAGAATGTCCTGTTTATGTTTTTGGCAGGAGGACAACTTATTTCAGAATGTTCTTTTAACTGTGTGTGGTTATGTTTGCTGTCTGTGTGTGGGTGTGTTTATAACTATCAATGTGTTTTTCCACAGTTGATTCCTTTGCCTTTTTGTTATATTTTTGTTGTTGAAGTGGCTATTCATGACTTCGTCAAAAATTGTTGATAAAAATTTTATTTTTGTTGTTAGATTTCTTTGGTTTCTGATATACTTAGCTGTTGAAGGCACCATCATTGTTTTGTGAAAAATGTGCTCAATCATTGAAATATCGTGGTTAGTGAGGACGATGACGACGATGATGACGAGGATGATACAGAAGCTCTTTTAGCTGAGCTTGAACAGATAAAGAAAGAAAGAGCTGAGGAAAAACTCCGAAACGTAAGTTTTCTTCATGCAATCATGTCTGGCCTCTCACGGCATTTTGTCTTTTCTGATTACCTTAAACCGTGATTTCCATTAATATGGTTTGACATTTTTAGTTAAAGGCACAAAAGACATGCCTTGAAAGTTAAGATGAAAATTATGGTATCCTATTCTGGGTGTTTGCATCAAAATTCTAACTTGTACGTTTTAAATTATGCTGCATTTCCATCAGTAAACTCTACTGGCTGGTAATGAGTTTCTGATTCTGAAACTAGTCAATGGTTTTAGGGTATGGATTTTTTCAATAAATGACGACTGCATGGTGTAGTTAATTTAAAAGAATAGGTTTGAATAATTATTGATGTGGTTTATGCTTGCACAGGAAAGGCAAATGCAAGAAGAAGAGTTAAAAGCCAAAGAGGCAGAAACTGTTACGAGGAAACCCTCTGATTAATAATCCAACATCCTTTAATGTGAAACGAAGGTTGGTTGTCTGACAAACTAGTTACCCCTTTGGTTGTCCTGTTCTATAAGTTGAGTTTAGGCCTGATTCTGTTATATTTTCTAATTGTCCTTTGCACAGGTGGGATGATGATGTGGTTTTCAAGAACCAGGCTCGTGGTGAAACCAAGACTCCCAATCGCTTCATCAATGACACCATCCGAAGTGACTTCCACCGAAAATTTCTGCAGAAATACATGAAGTAACTGGACGGTTTATGTCAAACAATCAGAGTCAGGAATTCTATTATGAGGAAATCCAAGAATTTCTGGATTGTTGATCATTGTATGTAGTCAGCAATAATATTGATGTGGTTGAATTTGGCAAGAGAAGGATTTGTAAAATCAAGTCGATACATCGACACATCTTATTCTGTGTGAAAACTGGTAAGAGCCAATTTTATCTTCTGAATTAGTTTGCCCTTTGTCTTCTGCATTTTGCCCACTTGATGCCATTTTTCTTTGATACTAAGGATTGATGTATTCTGTAATTTGTCCTTGGGTTTCTGTTGTGTTGGCTATTATCTACGGATTGAACTATGAATTGCTAAATATATGTCGACTTCCAACTTTATGTGCATGAGCTACTCTCTTTGACTTGTATCTATTATTGCT